CACCACCACCACCACCACCACCACCACCACCACCACCACCACTGCCAGGCCCAAGATACACTTTTTAAACCTTGGCCAGTAGCTATTATCTTCAAGGCTTTTCTGTGGTATGCTAAAGAATTTATTTTCTGACATCTTTAAATCATTAATATTTCCAAGGTGCTTAACATAGTACCTTGTCCTCATTGAGTAGTCTATTTGTGGAATTAAACTGAATAGTTTAAATGGTAGTTAGGCAAGTTAGGAAGCAAGGATCATTTTAGCTTGAATTTTACACACACACACACACACACACACACTGAAATGGGGCTGGAGAAATGGCTCAGCAGTTAAGAGTACTTAGTAGCACTTACTGCTCACGCAAAGGAACTGGGTTCTGTTCCCAGCACCCAAATAGCAGCTCACAACTGTCTGTAACTAGTTTCAGGAAATTTGACGCGCCTGAGGGCGCCTGCATGTACATGGTGCGCATCATATATACAAATACACACAAAATAAATAGTTTTAAAATATATATGTAAAAAAAATTTTTGTTAAGGTGTTCCATTTTTAGCTCCCATTTTATTTTATTTTTTCTTCCAATTGTATTAGATCACTTTGGGGGGATTTGAGACGGGGTCTTTTGTAGGACCCAGGCAGACCTCCAGTTCTCAGTATTTCTCATCCTCTTGAGTACTGGCATTACAGATATGCATCACCATACCTGGCTTTTCCTAATTTCTTACAAATGATTAAGCTTAAGGATTTTGATATTCAGAAGTTTTGAAATTTGAAGAATTGCTGTGTATGGAATTGAGAAGTCGTAATTAAGATCTGGAACTCTGAAGTCAGGCTGCTTGGATTCATATGCGGGTTCTGCCCCCTCTCCTCATGAGAAAGTTACTTAATCGTTCTGTATCTTGGCTTCCTTATTTAAAAGAGGTATAAATGTACATGATGGCCAAGTGTACATAAGTGCTGGAAATGATGTTTACGATGTGATTAATGGCTGCGAGGTGGTGGCTCACACATTTAATCCTAGTGCTTGGGAGGCAGAAGCAGGCAGATCTCTGAGTTCAAGGCCAGCCTTGTCTACAGAGCAAGTTCCAGGACAGCCAGGGCTACACAGAGAAACCCTGTCTCAAAAAACCAAACCAAACAACAACAAAAAAGATGTGGTTAATGTTCAATACAGTTGACATTTTTGTGATGTTCAGTTCTTGACTTCGGTGTTCAGTCCACTGAGACACAGACATAGGACTGCCCCCTCACCTGATGGGAGGACAAAATGAAGAAAGCTAATTTAACTATCCTTTATAGGTGAGAAACTCTTTTTCTTAAAAGAACCTGTCCCTTGGGGCTCTCAGAGGCTTAGTGTACCCTGTGTAGCAAGTATGCTTTGAATAATTTGTTTTCTAATAACAAACAATAAAGAACAGTAAGCACTTGTATCTTTTATTCTACAAGGAAGCACTGAGTAACATGGATGATTATGACAAAACCTGCTTGGAGTCTGCCTTAGTTGGTGTTTGCAATATTGTCCAGCAAGAATGGGGTGGAGCAATTCCTTGCCAGGTAACAATCAATTCTTTCTCATCACGCTAAGTTAAAAAGCATCAACTGCTGAGTGCTTTAGTTTTCTTTAGCTCATTTCGCTGGCAGATGACACAGCTTCATCATTCCAGGAACTATATTTTACACCATGGGTGTTTAAAAAGGGCTCTGGATCACCCTAGTTCATCACACTAATCCTACATCGTGCTACTGTGCCTATGAAGCCGCACAGTTCCGCCTCAAGGGAAGCAAAGTAAACTGACTCACTACAAAGCAGTGCCATTTGTAGAAGAGAGCGCTCACAGGAGAGTGTGAGAACTGCCCTCCCTGGAGAGGGTAACTGTAATTCTGAGTGGTGACTGTAAACATCAGGACAATCTGGTCTTTCTTCATTACTTCAGTGTAGTATGTAGTCAGCAAGCTTCTAACTGTCCCAACTGGAAACTGTGGAAGTGGAGAAAAAAGTATCTAAAATTGTCTTGCTCCTTTTGTGAAGCCCATAGTGGTTCCATATAAGCATCAATCAAAGCAGAGTAGCAACAGGAAAGATAATTAATTAGATGTCTGGTGTAAACAGATACTTTGAGAAGTAGTGGCATATTTAAAAGGAGAAAACAGCCAGGCAGCGGTGGGGCAGGCCTTTGATCCTAGCACTTGGGAGGCAGAGGCAGGCGGATCTCTGTGAGTTCGAGGCCAGCCTGGGCTACTGAGTGAGATCCAGGGCAGGCACCAAAACTACACAGAGAAACCCTGTCTTGAAAAAAAAAAAAAAAAAAAAAAAAAAAAAAAAAAAAAAAAAAAAAAGGAGGAAACAGATACTACCAACAGGAAAATTGTAGCAGTCTTCAGTTTTTCTGTGTTTAGGCTTTGTAGATTTCTGTAACACTCACTCAACTCTGTAGGGATAGTATGACAGCAGCCATAGCATAACAAGTGAATGAGCATAGCTGTGTTGCTTTATTTTAAAAACTAGACAGTGGTTAGGTTGTGGCCTCTGGTCAGTTTGCCCCAGTATATGATGTGTGACTTTATATTAGAGGGTCAGTTCAAGATTCCTCAGTAATATCAATGGCAAATTAGTATTTTATTTTTTAATTCACAGTAAATGTGTAAAGCCAGGCACATAACACACACCTATAATTCCAGTGCTCAGGAGGCTAAGCTGGAAGATTACCAGTTCAAGACTAGCCCATGCTACCAAGTGAGACCTTGTCTTACAAAAACACAACAAGGGGGCTGGAGAGATGGCTCAGCGGTTAAGAGCACTGGCTGTTCTTCCAGAGGACCTGGGTTCAGTTCCCAGCACCCACATGGCTGCTCATAACTGTCTGTAACCCCAATCCCAGAGTATCCAATGGCATGAGTCATGCACATGGGACACAAACATACAGACAAAACATCTATACAAATAAAACGAAAGACTGGGAGGGGGTGCTGGGTGATGAACAGCACTGGCTGCTCTTACAGAGGACCTGGGTTTGATTCCCAGCACAACATGGCAGCTCCTAACCTCCTGTAACTACAGTCTCGGGGGCTCTGATGCCCTCCTCTGCCTTCCTTGGGCACCATACATATAGGTGTACACATGTGATGCACAGACATATATATAGGTGTACACATGTGATGCACAGACATACATATAGGCAAAACACTCATACATATAAGATAAAATAATTAAGGGGCTGGAGAGATGGCTCAGAGGTTAAGAGTACTGACTGCTCTTCCAGAGGACCTGAGTTCAATTCCCAGCAGCCACATACATGGTGGCTCACAACCATCTGTAATGAGATCTGGTGCCCTCTTCTGGCCTGCAGTCATCCATGCTGTATACATAAATAAATAAATCTTAAAAAAATAATAATAACTAAAAATCCAGCAACAGTAGTTATAAGATTGAAGTTGCTTGGCAGTGAGGAAAGGCTAGAGGTTGACTGAAAAGACAGGTGGATGTTGTGCCGAGGACTGTGGCTTCCAGCACCCACAATGCAACTCACCACTGTCTGTAACTCCAGCTCCAGGAGATCTGGTGGGTGGATGCCTTCTTCTGTCTTCCTCTGGCATCAGGCACACCCGTGGTGCATGTATTCCCATGCAGTCACTCAGGCATACACATAATAAAGAGATAATAAATGTTTAAGAAGACAGCAAATGCCTTTTGGTTAATTCTTTTCAGGAAAACAGTTAGTACATAACTTTATAAGCATCATTTCCCTTGCCTGTACGTACATCTGTGTGCCATGTGCATGCCTGGAATATTCAAATGAATGTCTGATTTTCTAATAATCAACTGAATAAATGAAGGTTTTTGTCAGTATCCTCTGAACTGGTGGTCAGCAGGTAGCAGTTTCATTTGCTCCTCAGTGATCAGAGGGGTCAGGACTGATTTTAAGAGCTTGACCTTTGTACCATGCAGACATGTTTTGTTTTGTTTGTTTTGTTTCTTAAGGGGGAAATGAAGAACCTGAATTGGAGATGAACTGTGTCAGAGGGCTTAAATCCATTTAGACTTGCTAAGTGTATAAGCTCCAACGTACTCTTTGAGAAATGATGGTTATTGGTGATTTTACAAGCAGTTAATATGAGATTTATTTAAATGTGGAATTTTTTGACCAACATTTTGAACAGCTGGCTTGTACCTTCATTATCTGAGTGAAGTGTTTCACTTGGCATTACCTGAAATCTGTCCTAAAAACAGCGTGTGTAGCTGGTGGATGGTGGCTCAGTGGGGGAGGTGCTTATGCTTCAGAAGCTGGTACCTGAGTTCAGTCCACGGAAGCCTCGTAACGGTGAAAAGAAAGAACTGACTATAAAGGTGTCCTCGACTCCACATATGTGTATGTCATGTATGTGCATGTATAAACACACACACACACACACACCAGCATCCTATAAAAGCTAGTATAAGAAGTAAATCACACTATTTAGAAATTGTTGGTTCCTAGAAGAAGAACTTGCCTAGCAGTCAATTGACTGTCTTCCCAAAAGATGAGAACCTTCCAGGGGATCTCCATCCTGCATTTCATGGTAGAAGTCGGTGCGGGTGCTGGTATCCCACGTGGTACAGCCACCCACTGGGCTAAAGAAAACCAAATTAGTCTCCTTTGGAATGCTTAGGAAGTCCACCAGGGCTTCACTATCACCCAGGCAGTAGGAAAGGAGAAAATGGCTTTTCAGATACCTTATTCAGGTTGGTTTTCTTGGCCTTTTCAAATTACAAGTTAAACATGGCCTTTTTTTAAAGGTCCTGTTCACTGCTGCCAAGACAGCCTGACAGATATTTTTACACTGAGAATGAGGACAAGTAACAGCACCAGATGTGGTTTTAAAGTGGTTGTCTGTTTAGTTGACCAAGAATAGGATTTATCGTCTTTAAAATAAAGTAGCAAAATTCAGATTTTTGGACTTTTTCCTTTAGGGATACATATCAATGTGTTTTACCATTTCTTAGACCAGTGCCTTAAGTACTAATTCCTTATCTATTAAGTGAAAATTGGCTATGATTCTTTTTTTCCTTTAAATGTTCAAAGGTAAACTCAAAAAATGACTAGAGTTGAATGTGGTGGTACACACCTTTATTCCCAGCACACAGGAGATAGAGGTAGACAGATCTTTGTGAGTTAGAGTCCAGCCTGGTCTACATAGTGAATTCTAAGTCAGCCAGAGCTAAAAAGTGAGGCCCTGTCTTTAAAAAACAAAACAAAAATAATTGAATGAAATAAAGTGTATACATTTTAGATACACAGTTTATTGATTTCACAAATGCATATACCTATGTAAACACCACTTTAATGAAGATAGGTTTCCAACCTACCTCCCACTCCAGGTTCAGGGAACCTTGGAGAAGAGGCTGAAGAAAGAATGTAAGAGCTGGAAGATAGGGAGGATGCTGTGACATGCTGTCCTCTGGACATGACATGACATCCCACTCCTGAATTCACAGTAGTCATTGTCACCTGCACAAGACCACACTAGTAAAAATTGCACTGTGTATCAAGGAGGGTCTCAGGAGGCCCCATCATAGCTGAGGAGATATTGGCAGTTGATGACTACTGAGGGAGGGAAAGGAACTTCTTCTTGGAGGTGTAGCCCTTGTAGATTGCTCTGCTCCAGGGGTGGCTCCACACTCACGAAGAAAGGCAGCACTAATTGTACTCAGCAGGTGGTTTTAAAATATATAGAGAAGAGAAGGAGGAAATCAAGTTGAGAATGTTTTGAGGGTAGCCTGAGGAGAAATGGAAAAGGAGATTGAGAGAGTGGATATGAGCAAAATACATTTATTTGTCTGAACTCCTCAAAGAATAAAAGATAACTTATACGTATAAAACATACAGAATGTTTCTATCACCCCACAGAGCCTCCCCATGCTTCTTTCTAGCAAGAATAGAGCTACTTTAAGAATATACTTTAATCAGAAATAATTTAAAAGGAAGAAAATAATAAATATGACATTTAACATACAAGCCTCCTGTCTTTACAGGTTGTTCTGGTGACTGATGGCTGTCTTGGCATTGGCAGAGGGTCACTGCGACATTCCCTAGCTACTCAGAATCAAAGAAGTGAGAGCAACAGATTTCCACTCCCCTTTCCTTTCCCATCTAAGTTGTATGTCATGTGCATGGCAAACTTGGAGGAGGTAATGCTTTTTACTCAGCTCTTTTTAGTTTGATTAAATGTTAAGTTTAATGTTAAAATTAAATGTTTAGTTTGATTAATTGTTAAATGTTGATCTTGGTTGATACATTTGATGAATGCTGTATTATATACACTATACCATTGCCTCTACTGGTTTCAGCTGAAGCTGCTCATAATTTAAAAAGACTGCGGCCAGGTGGTTGTGACACACGCCTTTAATCCCAGCACTTGGAAGGCAGAGGCAGATCTCTGTGAGTTCAAGGCCAGCCTGGGCTACAGAATGAGTTCCAGGAAAGGCACAAAGCTACATAGAGAAACCTTGTCTGGGGGGCGGGGGATTGATGAATAAAAAGACTCTGCATCTCAAATGCTTATTGACATTCAGAGGTACCCAACTTGGGAACATAGCAGGGGTTGACTTTCTTCCTGCTGGTGGGTTGTGGAGGATCTAGGTGGGTTTTTTTTTTTTTTTGTTTTTGTTTTTTTTTTTTGTTTTTTTTGGGGCAGGGGGGTTAATTATGTCTCTTATCCAGGAATTCTTATATCCATTCTAGCAGAAATGTTGAAAGAGTATATATGCCTTAATTTAGGGAGTAAAATAATGTTACTCTTAGACATGTTTTATTAAATGCTAGACTTCTTAGTTTTGCCATTTGAGAAGGTTATTTAACTTTTCTTCACGTCAGTTTTTTTTTTTCTGTAAAATGTAGATGAGAGGCAAATGTAGATGAGAGGCAAATGGATCTCCGAGTTTGAAGCCAGCCCAGTGTTCATAGCAAGTTCCAGGCCAGCCAGGGCTACATAGTGAAAGGAAAACTATAGGTGATGGTTAGAACACCTTCCTGGGGAAAGGCTGGCCAGGCCTCCCTGGGGGGTTCTGATTCTCCTGTCCTGGGGAAAGCCTGGCCAAGCTTCCCTGGGGGGGGGGGTTCTGATTCTCCTGTCTGAAG